TCCCAGACCCTGGAACAGCAACGTAGTTTCCTTAACATGAAGTTTGCCCGTACCGTTTCGATTGCTGCCTGCTAGCGAAGGGGGGTGGGGAGTGCCATAGGGAGTCCAAAAGGATGTGTCGGTAGTATGCACTTTGGCCTCAAAGGCACTTCCAGCGCCAAAGTTTGGGCTTGAAGTCCTGTGACCCTTCAAACCCAGCCGCCCTACTGCACGGCTCGAAACCCCAAAACCTCAAAATCCCATGGCTTCAAGGTTTGGATTTCTGCCTTAGAGCCCTAATGCCTAAACCCAAAAACCCTCGGGTCTCTTAAGCCCAGGGAGGCAAAAGCCCCCAAGCCCCTTTCGAGCTCACACTTGGTAAAACCTAAACCCTAAACCAAACCCAAAACCCTAAGCCTGAACCCTAAACCAAACTGAGAGCCTGACACGATCTCAAGCACGTGAATCAGAACAAGGAGTAGGTCGAAGACGTTCGTAAACCTTGAGATTGCAACTCTACTTGAAATAGGTCCCTGCAATATGGATTGCCTAGGCTGTGCGTGGGCTAGACCTTCCTTTGTAGCTAGCCCCCACATCTTACCCCGAGGTTCCAACAATCTTCCAAGCAGAGACTCCCCTACAGCCCCTGAATTTAACTACTAACCCCCTGCAATGACTAAGAACTGGCTACTACTAGCCTCAAAGCCCACACCGAGACATTGGCGACTTGCATCTGTGGGTTAGTTTCATGACTTCCCCTGTATAGAACCGAAGATTACGGGACGAATTAAGTAGCAACACGGTGCTGATCAAGGAGGCTGCATGAATCCGTCCACCTCATCGTAGAGCCACTCCCTCCTGAGCACCAGCATGCGCGCGAGGACGTCCAGGACATAGATGGAGCCTTGCACTGTACTTTGAATCCCGTTAGCAGTTTCTCTTTTTGGGGGAGTGATGGGTTGGGGTGCCGGGCCTTTTCGCGTTTCTACCGGACAGGTCGGGATCAGAATCAGGCAGAATGCGTAAACTGAAATAGGCAACATTGTTGCAAATCCCACACACGTCCAGAACGCTGCAGGGCCAAGCGGATTTAAGCGTTCTAGCGTCGGCGGCAGATACACATGCATCCACAATTATACACATGTTTAACCATATAAAAAAACTTAGTCTTTATAATATACATCTCCACAGCCATATTGAACATGTATGTACATAATTCGGCCCCAAGGTGGCAGTATCATTTAAGCCCTACGAGGCAGCAAGTTTACATGGACTGCGTCGGCACGCTACGGTGCAACCTGACACGGGCTGAGACACTTGGATCAAAACCCAGAAGCCCCCTGAGGAAGTTGGCCCCTGGGAAAGCCAGAGGGTTTAGGGTGTAGGGTTTAGGGTTTAGGGCTTAGGGTTTAGGGTTTAGGGTTTAGGGTGTAGGGTTTAGGGTGTAGGGTTTAGGGCTTAGGGTTTAGGGTTTAGGGGCCCCATGTCGCGCCCAAGGGACAAAAAGCCACGTCCACAGCCAGGAAGAGATCCGCCGTCAGGAAACTGGAATTCGGCGCCCGGGGCTCCGCAATTCCAAGGCTTACGTCGGCTTGATGGCCGACCTAAGGAGGCTTCAGTTCCTGGCTCGGGGCTTATGGTTCTGGGGTTGAGGGTTTAGGGTTTAGGGTTTAGGGGTTTAGGCTTATAGTTTTATGGTTTGGGTGCCCATCATCATCAGCATCGCTGCAGGATGCTCTTCGTGCTAGTTTCGGCAGGCTCCGGCTCTGACAAGACTGGGGTGCAGGGCTTCATGGCCTAAGAACGGTATCCCCAGCCGGGTTGCGGCTGATCTGAGCAACCCAACGTCTCCAACAACTACCAATAACTAGCAACGTCTATAAAGCAAATCATTGGTGGAACTCAGTGGATCTGCAAGGGCCAGAGCTTGGGCAGTCTCATCGCAGTCGCCTGGATTGTACTTAAACTTGTTCAGCAGAAGCGTCGTGCAGCGAGTTTAGGAGTTTATAGGTCTAAGTCTGGCTTTTGAAAAGTCAGAACATGGCTTGGGGGTATGCGCACTTTAGGGGGCTATGAGGGAATAACATTGATAACTCTGCCCCTATAGTAGGCTTTAAGGGCTAAGACACCAAGCCGGGAGTTCGAACGGTGGTCTGACAGACCTTTAAAGCCTCCCAATCTCTCGAAAACGGCCAGGCAAGCAAACTCAAATGAAGAAACTGAGGTATACTCGAACTATCCGGCTAAGCACACCTTAACCCTTAACCCCAATCGCCTGAAGCCTGGACACCCCAGACCGCGACATCTACAGGGCCCTTGACCCTAAGTTTTGCCGAGCAACTTCTTGGGTCCATGCGGCCATCCAAACGAAGTTCAAAATGACCACAACGGCGATGCAAACATCCAGGGGACCCTATTGAGGGCTTCAGTTTGCTTCATATAATAGCCATTATACCCTAGACCCCTTTCAGTATATGTATCAGTCATATAATAGTTATTATACCCTAAACCCCTTATATGTTTTTCAATTACAGTATATTCCGTTATGGTGTTGAAGGGCTTAAGGTTGCGTCAGGGTTTTCTTGCAGCTTTAGGGCTTCGGGTTGTGACGGGTTTAGAGTGTTTTCGGGCTTTGGAGGGTTAATTAAGGCTGAGAGGTTTCATGATTTAGGGGCTTATAAGGTTTTATGGGTTGAGGGGCTCTAAGCATGTGGAGGTGCACGAGGAGCTTTTGAGTGCGTGTGCTTTTCTTAGTTTTCGTGCGTGCATAGTGTGTGTGTGTGTGCGCGCGTCTGTGTTGTGTGTTGTTTGTCGATTGTGTTGTGTGTGTGTGTGTTTGTTGTGTGTGTGTGTGTGTTTGTTGTGTGTGTGTGTGTTTGTTTTGTGTGTGTGTGTGTTTGTTTTGTGTGTGTGTGTGTGTGCACGTCTGTGTTGTGTGTTGTGTGTCGATTGTGTTGTGTGTGTGTGTTGTGTGTGTGTGTGTGTGCCTGGGTGTGTGTGGGTGTCCCTGTGGGTGTGGATGCGGAGAAATTACAGTGTGTCATATATAGAATATGAAGGACCCTCTGACTAAACTAAATATTCAGACTTCTGTGGTAAGGGCTGCGGAATTTGCGCCTTCACCCACTCTCGGTATCGCGAGGCGTCCTCCATCTCCGACATGTCTGTCAGGACATGCTTCCTCGGCTTGTGGCTGAGGGTCTTCGATGTCGGATAGCCGTACGTCAGACAACGAAGCTTGCATGGCTTCGTGCGGCCAGGCGTATCAAGCTCTATATCTGGAGCCATACTACGCAAGTGATACCGATCTCTGTAAACAGATACGAAATCCTACCGCAGGCTTCAAACCACATGAAAGCTTAAACCCAAAGCGTGATCGGATCACATGCTGACTGACATCTCACACCCGCACCATTGAATAATCAAACCAGAAAGCACACTCAAAACAACCCAAGGAAATAACCAAGTCTGCACCATGGAAAGGAGTGAAGAGGACAAACTTATCTCCAAACAACACAACTTCCAAAACCCGATGAAATGGTCTAAACCCCAAGTACCAGAGCTTTCGGGTTGAGGGTCCAGGGGAACACCAAAGCAAAAGCAAAAGCACTGTTTCCTGCTAAGCCGCTCAAGCTTTGTCGCATGTCGGTGGCTGGTGGTGCTTCTCTGGCTATGAAGGGCCTTCCCGTTGTCCTTGCCTCTGTCTTCCACCTCCGGGGTTTTGGGTTTAAGGAGTGCGTCCTAAGGTCACAGTATGCGGCTGAACCCCAAAAACTGTGAGCAGGAGGAACCCTGGCATGAAACACCCCTCCCCCACCCCCCTTACCACTTCGGGCCATGGGAATGTCAGCCGACAAACATCTGTTAGGATGCTATATTATTCTTGGTCGCTGCTTTGGTCTTTGTCAGAATCACCGTGTCGGACACGCAAAGTCTTGAGATACTGCGTGTGCGCAAACTGACACGGACTGAGGTGTGACGAAGTTGACACTACTCAGCAGCAATGTGACCTCCAGCAACTGTTAGCTTTGAGCTTCTTTGGAAACGTTGTCCACCCTCCCCCACTGGGAAATTCCCCGCAAAATCTCAATCCTAGCTGCGCACGCTCTCGAGGGATTGCGCCCTGTTACCAAAGCATCGAATGTGTTGAACCCTCGAATTTTCTGCACATTATTACCTTATCCGCTCCAAGTTGCACGGGCACAGTTCTTAAACGCATCGCCCAATAAAAAACCTACAGCATACTCTGACACTGGACCAATGGGGAACAATCACAGTCGGTGAAATCGGCTCATGACCCAAGAGCCAGATGAAGATCCGGTTAAAACACAAACACGCGCGCACACACACACACATGCGCGCGCGGTAAAAGCTTCCCAGACTCGCTGTAGGTCTTTATCGTGGTAACCTTCAGAGGATTTCAACCATGGAACTGACTAGCCATGAAAGGATACGACAACAACAATATAGGTTCATGTCTGACATGTTCGAAGTGCAGACAGCTCCTTGATGGTTGTCTCCAGCGGCGCTTTTGCGACGACGTCCTGCTTCGGTACCGCTTCTGCAGGAGCAGCGTCCACCGCGACCATTTGCTCTGGCCTCTGCTGAATCAAACAAACAAGCGTCGGTTTACACATGTCGAAACTCTAAATCCCAACCTCTAAGCACAAAAGTCTCAGAACGTGCTAAATGGAAAAGGGCTGAACCTAAGCAGGGGGCTGAATAAGTAGAATAGGGTCTCGGGGTCTATTCAGGACTATAACGGGGCATTATCACTATATATCTAGACCCTATTGTTCGGGACTACCTATAATTATCACCCTGTATTTTTCAAAAGTTTAAGACCTCTATATCAGGCCAGAAGCCCCAGATCTATGGCCGCCGCACTTGAGGGCCCACACCGAAGCAGCTGGAGATGGTCGTCCAGCAGTGACCGGATCACGGCCTGCTCTTGGGGTTCTCTTGTTTAGGGTTTAGGGTCCATAGGGTTTAGGGTTTGGGGTATAGGGTTCTCATGCCCTGTTTCCCGGTAGAAAGCAGCCAAACTCTATGAGACAGCATTCTGCTCTCTTCACCTCAACTCAACAACCGAACCATTGGACCCTCCACCGCGGCCTCCTGCTTGGCAAACCTCTGCTCCAGCGCTGAGATGAACCACTCCCTTATGGGACTTTCCGAAAATTAGGGGTACCTTATTTTGGGGTCCTTATAATAAGGATGCTACTATTTAGGGTACTATATTAGGGTCCCCTATTTTCGGAAACACCCTTATCAACGAGGACATGCACGAAGCTTTCAGATGTCTCCCGACATCCCAAACGTTGAAGCTACAAACGAATTCATCCTTAAACCAACAGTTGAACTTTAAACACTGCACAATAGGACGACTGACTACACAGTGCCGAGGTTAGGCCCGCACTCACTAATCGTGACCATAACGGATCGTGCCTAGGGTCTTGCTGTACTTGACTATGCCACTTGGATTATGCCACCTTAAGTGGGCTGAGGCCTAAGCCACGGTAAACCTCGAAAAAACCTCTCAGATTACCCGATCTTCCTTCCAGAAAACCATATGCGGGAAATGGAGTTGTTGCTGTCTGAGGTTCTCTTTAATGCTACCTCGACTATCTTTAATGTAGGGGCTTTCATAATTAGAATAGGGTTTGGGGGTTCCTTATTCTTGTTATTCTTATATAGTAGACCCCCAAAACCCTATTCGAATTATTAAGGCCCCTATACCAAGCACAACCATCCCTCCCTGAACAGGCATCCCTTGACCAAAAAACACGATACCCTGATCTAAAAAACCCCAAACCCTGAACCCTAAACCCTAGACCCTACACCCTAACCAAACCCTGAACCACGAACCCACAGACTCCCCACTCGGCTTCTGAAGATGCCGGACTTAAACATTCGGTAAGGTTTTAGGGTTTAGGGTTTAGGGTTTAGGGTTTAGGGTTTAGGGTTTAGGTTTAGGGTTTAGGGTTTAGGGTTTAGGGTTTAGGGTTAAGGGCATCAGGGCCTCAGGGCTTGCTTTGATTAGAATGAGCGCTGTGGCATCGCCTTCGTCGAAGTACTGTTTAGTTTGGGGTTTGGGCTTGAGGGTTCAAAGTCATTCGTCTTCGACCGCGAACCCGGAACGGTTCAGACGCAAATCTGAGCGTCAAAGCCTGAATTTGAAAACAGACCTCGGATCTTGAAGCAGGAACCGCGCAGTCTCTAAACCTATTCCGCACCCAAACCCGTGCCCCGGAGCCCAAACCCAAACCCGAGACACGAAAACTCGACACTGAAAGCCAAACTTGAACCTTCAACTCCAGCAACCAGTCCGAACATCTGCGAGCATAACCCTAACCCCTCAAACTCAAACCCTAAACCCTAAACCCTAAAACTCAAACCCTTTCAGGGTCACAGGCGCTGTGGGTCCGCCAAGGCAGTTCCGGCACAATCTGCCGACATTTCGTGTGCAGCCGAGATGGGAGTTTCCGACAATAGGGGGTACCTTATTTTGGGGTCCTTATAATAGGGATCCTACTATTTAGGGTGCTATATTAGGGTCCCCTATTTTCGGAAACCCCCAGATGGGTTTCCACACCCCAAACCC